AGGCACAGGTGTTCCCTGCCATCGAAGGAGGCCTCTGCCTCTCTTGATTGCATAAACAGGCCTCCTGCCTTCCTGCCTCCTCGGCATCCAGCATCACCCCAGGAAGCCCTGGCCTCCCATTCAGGGTGCTCTCAGCAGGGAGGCAGAAGGTCTGGCGGGATCTGTAAGAGGGTGAAGCCTCCTTATGGGGATTCTGGAAGGGCTGTGGGTCCATCCTGTGGGCCCGGCATCGTGTAAGCTCCACACTCACTGCCATCTGTTTCCTATCGAGGCTGAACACAAGCTCGTGCGTGTGGTCACAATCACACAGAAAAATCACTCGGCTAACAAATATGGAAATGTCAGCTTCATTCTCTCTCTCTCTCTCTCTCTCTCTCTCTCTCTCTCTCTCTCTCTCTCAACTGACTTAAAAAATGGACAGTGAAAATGTTGACCCTTTCTAAGGTGCCCTCCCCCAACCCCAAGGAAAATACAATGACATCAAATTCCCCTTGCGGTCCATTAAAGGTGGGTGGGGGAGGCTCGCTGCACATGTACAAGGGCCAAACCAAAATAGGAAATATGAGCAAAGTGGTTGCATCCTTTTGCAATCAACTATTATAAAAGCTGGCCATCTCCTGTTCTACAAGAAGACATGGGGTTTCCAACCAGCCCAGTTTTATTTTACATAATTGTAACCATCTCAGCACGTCAATTAAGATAGAATGTTACCTTTGGGATGGGATCAATTAGGATCCTGAAGATTGAATTTGGAATCATGATTAGCCTGTTTTACATTTTGCCTTCATTTTCTAAAATATACAATTGTCTGATTCAGCCCGATTTTTAAAACGTATTGTAAACGTATTTATTTTTTTAAGCCAAAACAGACGTGGGAGGCCAGTTAGCAACAGGAACCATAGCAAAATGGAGGGCGAGGAGGTAGGGGCTGCTATTTGATTAGAGTCGATTCTTAAATTTTCACAGCAAGAAAATATTGAATGTAGTGTAATGGTTGCTGGATTTTCTTAAGAACTGAAATCATTACACCCTGGCTGCGATCCAGGTTCTTCCCTTTTTTAGGTTACAATCTGAAACGGTGCAGAACATGCTATAGTGTTGTAGTCATTTATGTAATGTCATTGAATCGAGCTTCTGGAAATAGACAAAGGACTTTGTGTCCCGAAATGTTCTCCTGGCGAAAAATTGATAGCAACATGAGATATGCTATTACTAGGTTTGGTTCTGCCTCCAAATTTGTGCTGACTAAAGTAACTGAAAGACAGAGAGGGAGAGAGAAAGCGAGAGAGAGAGAGAGGGAGGGAGGGAGGGAGGGAGAGAGAACCGGCCAGTGAACTTACAAATGTGTAGAGAAGCTACATGCTTAAAACAAATGCTGCATGGAGGGAAGGCACACATTTCCCAGCAGAAATGCACAAGTTTTTCAGGGTCACTAAAATAATGTGAACCTCTTTGCTTGCTCTTCTTAAGTTGTTGTTTCCCAATTGGAGACAATGAACATGCAAATACATGACATGAACCACCCCTCCACAACCCGTAATTCTCCCAAGCCCTCCCTTCCCATTCCAGCCCTCCAATGTGTTTTCCCTTCATTGAAACCTCTTGTCTGGAGCTTTTGCCAGATTCGTCAGAATGACAGGCGAGTCCAGCTTCACCAACCAGAGATGCAGCCTGAATGCAAATCAAACCTGGGCCCTGGACACTCTGGCCAGGCAGGACACATGGTGTCGGGCACAAGCCCATGCCCTACCCATGTTTGCTGCTCCCCCATGCTCTTCTGAGATTTATCATCTTCATTGCAACAGTCCCTTTCAGAAGGAAAAGTTAAAGCTATTTGTGCATGATGTGGAAGATATGCCAATAAGCCCCCTTTCCACATAAATAGCACATCAAAATATTACCAAATAATGCTGTTGACTTTGCCAGCAGGCAGAGGACTCCATCTGGAGATAATATCTTCCAACTGAGAGGCAGCCGAAGTGCCCTTTCCTAGGCAACGGGCAAGGTGACCGTTCTGTGGCTAAATTCTGTCCTGTCTATGTGCAAGGGCAATCCTCCGCCTCTTCCGTTGTGCCCACACTAGGTGCACGGGATCCTGGAGTTGTCTGCTCCCATCCAAAATGGACTCACTGGTCCTTTTTCCTTTGTGATGGCAACAGCACCATCCACTCCCGACCACACTTACTATATCCAAGTATCCTCCAGAGATGTTCAAAATAGCCAATACCGGATTATAACCAGGGACAGAGCTGGCTGGCTTCACCAGTACTCTCCATTCATCTGCTCCTAATGACACAGAGACAACAGAAAAACTCACTGTTGGGTCAGCTCTCCATGGTGTCAGGAGTGACACCTTCTGAACAAAGGTTTCCCTGCTTCCACTAGCACATGAGCCTCTCCTGTCTGCGAACTCCAGTGTCATTAGAGTCTGGGCCACATAGATATGCTTTTTTGTTGTTCTCCATTATTCAAGAAACTCTGCTGAGCATTTAATATGTGCAAAGAACAGGAAGGCAACAAAGGTGAACCAAATATGAGTAGAGGTGCCCCTGCTCTTTCTAATCAGTGTGACTTCCCACTTATTCCACTGACATCTTAAGATTTCTGACGATCCTTGTCTTCTTAAGTTCAGCCAGGTTTACAAGGTCCTTTTCTAAGTACCATCTCTGCCTCGGCCCATGTCCACCTGTCCATGAGAGAGGTCGTTACTATTTATACCAAAGCCCGCAAAGCATTGGTGAGTTGAGTAGCTCTTTGACAGATGCCTCTGCGATGCAGAGGCACAAAGAGGGAGCAATGATGTGGCCACACATCATGTTAAACACTAAATGTAAAAGGTGGCACCATCTTAAAAGCAGAAGATTGCAAGTGGCCCGTCACTCAGACATCTGTTAGCCCACGTCCTTCCTTCCCACCAGCTCAGCTTCACCCCACATCATTCTCTATCCCTTTGTACTTTTCTCTTCCCTCTCAAGAGGAAAAAAACCATATCTCATATTCTCAGATGCAACTGTTTAAAGCAATCCCTTTTTCGGAAGGGAGGTGGGAGAGGAGTGATGATGGTTTCTGAAGGTTGGGTTTACAACACTCATACCCTCAGATCTCCAATACCTTTAGTGAGTCATCAGGGTTTTTTCCCTCAAAGACAGTTTCCTACCCCTCCCCCCCCCCACAAAAATATTGTTAGTGCCAAACTGTTAAAGGAATGAATAATTTTGCCCTGTTACACACAAAGAGGTATGATGCCATTCCAATCAGTATTCCCTGCCATTCTCTCATCATCTTCTATGTCCTAGGAAATGTCCTGAGCCCTCCAAGCACGCAAATTCACTGAATCCTTTTGAGAAACTGAAGATGAGAGCACTTACATTGTCCAGGGCCACCCAGAGCCTTCTGGTCCTAAAACCATTATCTTAAGCAATAAAGTACTCTGCCTCCCACAATTCAGAAGGCCGAACGATTTGCAAGATACTATAAGAGGTATAAAGAGCAAAAGGCAGGGGCCCAGCACCTGGTGACATAACATAGTAAGCCATTGGAAACGAGAAGTTATAACTTCAGAGAAAGATCTGAGTTGGAGTCCCAGCTGTGCTAGGAATGTGTTGGATGACATTGAGTAAGTCACTCCACTGCTCTGAGCCTCAGGTTCCTCCTATATCAAATGGAAATGCTAACAGTGCATATCCCATTAGGTTATCTTGGGGACTCAAGGAGATAAGGCATGGGAAGCACTCAATGCAGTGCTTGGTATGTGATGAGCCCTGAATAAATGTTACCTTTCATTCGTATATTGAACATGATTTTATAGCTTACCTTGTGGATTTAGCCTTTTATGATGCATCTTTCTGTGGCTGAATACACTTTCTAAAAACCATTGAGATAGTGAACATCCTGCTCCGTTTATCTACTGGAGAATAGTATTGTTTGTCCTATCAGTATGCATGAAGTCATGCTATATTATTACTACATCTTTGTTTATGTTTGCTGCAAGTGTTCTCCCAGGTGTTTGTCTGCCCTTTAACTTTGTTTAACATACTTTCGGCCAGGCAGTTAATTTTTATGAAGTGAAACTTATCTAAATTTTACTTTGTGATTCCTTCCATTAACTTTAAGCATTTAAAAAATTCCTTTTTACACAGAGATTAGAGAGATATTCACCAACATTTTTTCCTAGGATAAAGGTACATTTTAAAATGTAAAGTGATTCACAAACTAAATGGATTCTGAACTGTGATGGTGGTTTCTTCCGATCATGAGCAAGCTCTGTATCTCAGGACCTGCAGCACCTTGTAATAGTGTTAATAATGGTTATCACATAATCCTGTTTGGGGGATTAAATAAGAATCAGATTTATGTCATCCATCCTGAGAGTTCTTTCATGAGTTAGCCCACTGTCCCCTTCTCAAGTAAAGAGATTTCTAACATCTAAGAAGTCACACGGATCTCTAAGAACGCATTCATGAATGTCAAAGATCTGCTTATATGGCTCTGGCCTTCAAGAGGTTCCCTTTGTTTTCCCCATAACTCCTGTGATATGGAGAAAAGGTTTTGGTGTGAGGCTGATCCAGGTTAGGAATTCAGCCCTACCCTCCACAGTATTATTGGTATGATCACCTAAATTCATACATGAGAAATCCCCTGAGGCTCTGTTTGCTTATTTCAAAAATGGAAGAAAATCACAGACCCGACTTCACACATAGGTCTACTGTGAAGATTAAGATAATGCATGTAAATCTCTTAGCACACCTGACGAATAACAAGTGACCAGCAAATGTTGGCTAGTTTTCCATTTTCTTCATCAGAAGGTGACCGTGGTTGTCCCCAAAGGCCCTGGCGCCCAGCGTAGTCTGGAGTAAAACCCCTCTCACTATAGCAGGAGGCCTGAAGTTCAGGATAATTCTAGCCTGATGAGACTGATATGGTAGTGACTGGGAGATACTGGGTCCAAAATACAGTGTATTCATTTCCTGGGAATGCCGTAACAAATTACCACAGACCGGTTGGCTTCAAAAACAAAATTTTATTCTCTCACAATGTGGGATGCCAAAGTCTGAAATCAAGGCGTGGGAAGGTCTGGTCTTTCCAGAGGGTCTGAAGGAAAACAATCCTATGCCTCTCTCCTAGCTTCAGGTGGCTGCGGGTAGTCGTCGGTGCTCTCCAACTGGTATCACCAGCCTTGGCTTCCATCTTCACACCACCTTCTCCTCTTTGTGTATCTTTTCTTCCTATGAGGACACTTATCATTGGACTTTCACCCTGCCCAGAGATGCCAGGATGATCTCATCTCAAGATTCTTAACTTAAAACTTAAAGGGTCCTGCTAAAAATAAAGCCATACTTGTTACCCGTGGAGGGTATTCAGTATCTTGAACAAAGGATTCCTGTTGGCAAAGATTGGACCAACAAAGGATTGGACAAAATGCACAAAGCAAGGAAAGAATGAAGCAACGAAAGCAGAGATTTACTGAAAATGTCCAGTGGAGAGAGAAAATGTCAATCATGTCGTCAGACCTGATCAGTGAGCTTGAGGCATGCACAGGTCTGAGCCTCCTGGTGGTGAGTAATAGGGCAGGAATGGGTGTCTCAGACAGTCTCCCTGGAATTGCTATCCACTGTCTCCAAGAAAAAGTCACAGTTTTGGAGTTACACAGAAAAAGTCATAGTTCACTCTCTCATTAACTGTTTATCGAGTACCAGTTGTGTGCCATACACTCTTCTTGGTGCAGAGGCTAAACAAGGAATGAAACAGTCAAAAACCTCCTCCTTCTTGGAGCTTACATGCAAGTGGGAGAATAACCCTCAATTGTGTTTCACTAGTTTCACTGATGCATGCATGCATTCACCTGTTTCACAAGCAGGGATTGGACCAGGCATGGTAGAGGGTACCGTGGTTCAGAAATAAACACCACAGTCCCTACCTTCTAAGGAACCTACAGTCAAGGGGAAGAGACAAACTAGTAAAACCTCACAGGGCAGTTTATCAAGTGCAAAGATGGAAGAATCTGCATGTGTCATGAGAACCCGAAAAGAGGTGATCAAGGAAAGCTTCCCAGAAAAAAATGACACTATACCTAAGCCTTGAAGGATGAGCAGGAGCTAACAGCAGCCATAGGCACATCTACATGAGAGGAGGACACTCAGTGGAGCTCAGCATAATTGGAGCAGGGGTGAGCAGTAGAGAAAACTGATCCAGGAAGCTGCAGAGGTAGGCAGGGACCTTGACTATGAAGACTGGATTATATCCTGACCTCCATGGGGAGCCACTGACAGGTGTCAAGCAAAACGGTGTAACCTACTCTGATATGTGTTTTAGAAAGATCTTACTGGGTTCAGTGAAAGGAATGAATGAAGAGGGCAGAGAGTAGAGTCGGGAAATGAGAAGGACTTATTACAGTAGAACGGGCCACAGTGACAGGGGCCTGGATACACTAAGGCACTGTGTACACAGATGGAGGGGAAGAGACAGAGCTGAGGTATATTTAGGAAGTAGAACAGAGAACACTTGATGACACATTACATGTCAGGAGTACGAAGGAGAATGACAGTCCCTAAAATAGTTAGATGACAATTATGTTCCCAAAATTTCTCATTAACCTCCCCTTAGAATTCCCTTCATTTTCCATTTTTACATCCTCCTGGTTCCTCCCAGTATTACTGCTGTTCACCATAACTGAACTGAATTAATGGAGGGCTTGACCATGGTCTCTGTGGAACAACTTACTCAAGTTGAATCCACACACTTAAATACCCCAGTCAAATTTAAATTATCTTCAGGGGATCAGATCAACTAATAAAAAATGAATTTAGTATAAGCCAGAAAATCGAAAAGAATTGGAAATTCTTCTTGCTGAGTAACTGAATCTAGAGTTCATACAAATCCAATTGCACTCTATGGCATTCAGAAAATAAGGGCAGGTCTGCAAATCTGGAAGAATGGTTACCTCAAAGGGGCTGGGGGCAATGAGGGCAGAAGAAATGTAATTAAAGAAATGGTAGAGACCTTCCATTATAATTATGGGGTTTTATTCTTTGCTGGTGGTGGAACATAAATGTTCACCATTTTATACACTGTGTGATGGGCCAGAAATGTTTCAGACATAGATCCCTTTAGGGCTCTGCTCACTAACTGTGATCTCGAGCAAAGGTTCCAGGACACCCGTCAGCAAGTAACAAGTGTTTCTTCTTCACGTGGGTGCTGGTAGATTCTTGTATATCTGAAGGGATTTTATGTATGCAGGGTAATGTCTGCTGCTAATTGTATTCTGATTGCTTCTTGGTATACTAAATACATGTATCTAGTAAACCCAAAATTTTGAAAATCAAAGGAAAACAATGAAAGAAAGGCAACAGAGATAAATCTAAGCAAGCGATTTTTATATCACATAACTCAAAGCCCTGGACGCTCCCTAGAGGCAGACAGTTGAATGACCCACGCTGTGCCTCCTACCCTCATTTCCCACCAGTGTTTCCACCTGACTATATACTGTACTGGCTCACCGCACAGTAGATATTTTAATGATGAGTGCTACAGTTTTAAAAGAATTTCATAAATAATGGATTTTGAAAATTAGAAATTTTAATTTCCTCCATTTTTCCTTCACAGCCAGAATTTAGGCTGGCTAGTTTACTATCTAAATGCACACACACATGCATAATGTATACATACAAACATACACAGTGTATACACATACACTCACAATATGGTTAATGACCAAATGCGCCCAACAGAAAAGAGAAATATATAATTACTGAACAAAAGGCCGGGTACGGTGGCTCATGCCTGTAATCCTAGCACTTTGGGAGGCCGAGGCAGGCAGATCACTTGAGGTCAGGAGTTCAAGACCAGCCTGACCAACATGGCGAAACTCTATGTCTACCAAAAATACAAAATTAGCCAGGCTTGGTGGTGGGAGCTTGTAATCCCAGCTATTCAGGAGACTGAGGTGGGAGAATCACTTAAAACCAGGAAGCAGAGGTTGCAGTGAGCCAAGGCAGTGCCACTGTACTCCAGCCTGGATGACAGAGTGAGACTCCTTCTCCAAAATAAAATAAAATAAAATGACTGAACAAAGATCCCATTTTTCCCTTGGTTTGTTAAAGGGAAGAAGCTTTTTTTATGTATTGACTTCTCCATAAAACCTTTTGTGATCATTTTATGCACACTAAGCTCTCACTGAGGGCTGGTACATCTTGTGTGAGCTTATAGCTTTCACTCTACTAAGCCCACAATTACCATTCTGGTACTTGTCAAGTGAGCAGACGAATGAATGAAAGATTAAAGTACAAAATAGTAGCAAATAGAAGAATGATTGAACAATTTGCCTGATTAATTTATTCACACATGAATTATATTCCGCCCTCATTAAAGTTACGGGTCATCCACAATATGAACACATATATGAATTTCTACAGGTGTTAATTTCACAGCCAGAACCCATACCTGACAACATTTTCATGTGTGAATGCTTAGATTTAAGGCAAAATATCTTTCTTAAACGAACATGATTACCCTTGACAGTAGCAGTATAAACAGACTCATGTCAGAGATTTGTTAATTATCTTTTTGCAACATCCGCTTTATAGATCTGTGTTACCATGAAAAGGCTTTTTATTGGGAAGCATGTTGGGAACCTCCCACACATAAATCTGCCAGAATGCAAGCAAAGACTACCTTATTGCCTACTTTTTGATGACTTTGCTTTCAGGAACAAACCCAAAGGGCCACAAGTTGATCACAATAATTTCCTCACTCAATAGAAAGAAGTGAAGACTTAATGTTAATATCCAATTCAGTTACCGTTTGTTGGGCATCTGCTAGCAAAAGGACTGGGATAGATAAAGTAGTGAAGTGAAAAGACATCCACAAGAAGTTGTCAATCTAGGTAGAGTTGCGGGCATTTCACTCTTTGTTTATTTACTTAACTAGTATTTATGTAACAGATGCTATGAGCCAGGCACTTTTGCTAAGCCCTGGTGACAGACATAAACACACAGGCATGGTCCATTCCCAAAGTGAGTTTGCAGTGCTATAGGTAAGGCAAATATTAAATAATGGGTATATGAACAAATATAAATTATGAACATAGTTACATGTTTTCTAGAAAAAGTATGAAATTCTATGCAAGAAAATAATACGGGATAAGGTTCTTTAAAGGGAGGGTTCAGATGCGACATTTACAAGAAAGTATCCTTTGTGCTGCCTCCTAGCTGTGACTCTTTGATGTTATAGTGTGCGTTATAAGGGCTGGTGTAAAATGCAGGAAGTTCTGTGGGCATGTAAGTTAAAAAGACATTCACCTCTGGCTAAGGGATTCCTTATGGAAAAGATGCTTTTTTGAGGGAAGTGTCTTTCTTCATATCTCCCCTGAAGATGGACAGAGATTTCATATGTGAAGAAAACTGCATGAACAAAAGAAGAGAGGAAGGAAAGCAAAGTGTGCCTAGCAAACAGCAAGTAGTGGAGTATAGCTAAAGAACAAAGTATGATAGGGATCTGATTATGGAGGTCTTAGAATGCCAGGCCAAGGAGTGTAAAAATTACCCTACAGGCACTAGGGAGCCATGGTTAGCTTATGAGCAGGGTAGTGGGATCCTCATACTGGTGCTCTAGAAACTCATCATGTCACATGAGTGGAGAGTGATTGTACAAAGGATACATACACTAAAAGTGGGTAGAACAATGATATCCAGATGAGATTACTTTCTTTTTTTTGAGACAGAGTCTTGCTCTTTTGCCCAGGCTGAAGTGCAGTGGCATGATCTCAGCTAACTGCAACCTCCACCTCCAGGTTTAAGTGATTCTCCTGCCTCAGCCTCCCGAACAGCTGAGACTACAGGTACCCACCATCACACTTAGCTAATTTCTGTATTTTTAGTAGAGATGGGGTTTCACCACATTGGCAAGAGTGGTCTGGAACTCCTGACCTTGTGATCCACCTGCCTCAGCCTCCCAAAGTGCTGGGATGACAGGCATGAGCCACCGTGCCCGGCCCCCAGATTAGATTGTTAAAAGCAAGCAAAACTGCCACAATTCACCTGAGAATAATGAAGGCTTGAAACGGGACAGTGGGTGCAAAGGTGGAAGGCCATGACGAATGGCAAATGCTGACTAGGTGATCTGCCTGGCTGGACGTAGTCCAGTCCTGATGGGCCTTAATCAGTGAGAAGGTGGTATCGGTTGTGACACTGAAATCTTGAATTTAGAAACTAGAAGGCTGGTGGGGTCA